CAACAACCCAAGGAGGAGCTCTGGTGACATAGTGGTAAAAACATTCAACTGCTAACCAAAAGGTCAAACTCACCAGCCACTTCCAGAGAGATAGATAAGACAATCTGCATCTGTAAAGATTTACAGCCTTGGAAATTCTTTGGGACTGTTCTACTCTGTTCTACAGGGTCACTGAGTTGGAATTGACTTGATGGGAATGTTTTTTTAGGGGGGTACAACTCAAGCTTTTAATCCTTGCTCAGGACCATTTTGCTCTGGGTTTCTGAGGTACTCTGACCTTACTGACCTGTCCCCCATGACCTTCTTTTCTGGAGCTGGGGGGACATACCAAGAGAGAAGCCTTGAAGCCAGACAGGCTATGCATTGTCCAAAACTCCTTCCATACCGATGCCTCCCTACATAATACCTCAGGACCTCAATAATTGTGGGTTGACTTCAGGATTCTTCCTCTGAGAAGAGGGAAAATAAGGAGCTCCATGCTAATGACTGGCTTCTCAAGAAGACAGGCACTTCAGATTGCCTGGGAGGAGGATTAAGCAGTTCCCTTGTTGACCATTAGTCTCGGGGTCAGGCCAACTCCTGGGCCAGCCACCAAATTCCTGCATTCCAGTCTTGGCTCCATGTCCATTGTGAAAGTTCTGAATGAGGCTAGATGTTTTCAGAGACGGTCAGCTCATCTAGCCATTGTTCAGAAGGGCTCGGTGAATGGAATAGAAGTCTATACCCATGCTGTACCTCTTCAGGCAGTGGAATCACTAGGAGTGTGCAGGGGGTGAGGACTGCACCATGTGACAATGTCCAAGGGGGTGACACCAAAATGACTCATTATTACCCAACTTCAATGAGGCTTTGAATTGCATGGTTTTCTCTGTATGTGCTATGAGCACACGCTGTTGTCTTCATTGCTGCCCGTGTTTTTATAGTTGCTGCTTTTGTCGGATATTCTGGTGTTTTAGCTACAATATTGTGGTAATTAGTATTTGTGAACCTATATCAATAGCTTTTTTGAGAATGAAGTGGTAATTAAAGGAAAAAAAAGAATTCTGCTCAATTATTAATAATGTTGTAACTAATGTAATTCAATGTAGAAAGATTTTACAAAATAATTTTGCTGTTCTTTTCATACACTCTAAGAAGTATTACATTTAAGCAATTTGCAACTATATTTATCACATATTTTTCTATGATTAATAAACATTACTTTTTATTGATAATAAACATTACATTGTTAATAAACATTACTAAGGATTCTGTATGGTCTGGTATGGAGGGGAGGAGGTCTCGGGGAGAGGGTGGTGGTGATACCATGAGTTACTGCCCTGGGTGATACTAACCCTAATGCTATCTTCAGGATCTCTCTGCAATATTTGATTTGCTTAACTCCTTACCAGCTGCAGGGTTTACACTTCAAAGGAGAAGACTTGGGATTTCCTTTGGGAGGTGCTCTTTACTGTGGCTGAACCTCGCTCTATCATTGAGACTGGCTTTCTCCTTAACTGCCTTAGTACATGCAAACTTTGTTTCCTCCAGACCCTGGACTTCATCAGGGAACAGTTTGTAAAGTCAGGCTCCCCCTAGAAAGCTGACTTCCCATTCATTTAGCCTCTGGAAGATATTACTGCTATTATTATTACTAAGTGCCAGGCCAGATGCCATATCATTCATTTTCTGCCTGGGAAAGACCTGTTAAGACAAAAATGTTCAACTGGAGTATTGTATTTCTCTCTACAGATAGGATGCTGTGGGGAAAATTTTGGGAGTCTAAGTATGTCTGGATTAGGGAGAGGGAGCTTCAGGAAGAAATGGCCAGAGCCTATCTCATGGTTGATAATTAAAATAGAACGATGACCAGTTCCTTAGTTGGAGATTCCTCCCTGAAGTCCATCTGGTACATATCACTTAGCTATGATTGTATTTCCTACTACTTTAAAATGGTCAGTAACTTGCAACTGCTCATAAAACGAGGTTGCATTGTAGGAATGACATTATGGGGAAAGTGTGAGCCTTGGCATGAAGAAATATTAAGTCAGTAACAAATTAGAAGTTATAAATAGGAAAAGGATCAATATTTGTATAAAATACCCCCAAAAAAAAAAAAAACCAAACTCACTGCCGCGGAGTTGGATCCGACTCGTAGTGACACCTCATTGGGTTTCTGAGGCGGTATCACTACGGAAATAGATTCCCCAATCTTCCTTCTGAGGAGTGGCTGGTGAGTTTGAATGGCCAACCTTCTGGTTAGCAGTCAAATGCCTTAGGCACCACGCCACCAGAGTTAGCCCTTGTATAGAATAAACCAAAGCCAAAACCAAACTCACTGTCTAGTTGTTCCTGACTCATAGTGACCCCTCCTTGGGTTTCCAAGGCAGTATCTCTACAGAAGTAGATTGCCCTATAATTATTAAACTATTAGTTATTTTCGCATATAAGAAGAAAGTACAAAGAACGCTTGGTAGATGGAGATTGGAGCCATAGCTATTCCTTTGTGAAAAGGGGCATACTGTACCATGGCAGTTTTTAAATTTCATTTGATTCTGTGACTCAGCAGAGCAAGTGGTAAAACTCCTTGTTGTCTTCTTTCCTTTGTTTCGTGTGTTAGGCTGAGCTGATTAGTAAGAGTAAGATACTTTGAGATATTTTGACCTCACTGACCTGTCCCTCATGCCCTTTGACTCTGAGCTGACTGGCAAGAGTAAGATATTTACAGATACTTTGACTTCATTCTTTGACCCTCATGCTCCTTGGCTCTGAGCTGATTGGTAAGAGTAAGGCAAGTAACTGTGCATTTGGGTGATGTTGATGTGGTAGAAAGGAGCTCT